GATCTACCCAGCGTAGTGTTTTGTTGATATTCTGTATAACCAAGGACTTAACCAGGTCTAGCTGGAATCTTCACTCTTCTGTTTATTTTTCTATTGAAACCTATATATACCAACTTGTTGAGTGTTAAATATAACTTCTGGATGAATTCATTTGAGAGCTCAACTTCCCTTTAAAAAGCAATATCTTATTCGGTATCTCGTCAAGGGGTGGCTTTAATAAATTGTTCAAACCAAAATTAGAATGCTTGTAATATGGTGTAGGTTTTGCGATCAATATGTAACCACTATGCATTTTCTTTTATCTTCCCATTTGCACGTTTATATGGAGGGTTGTGTTTGTGGCTCTAAATATACCACCACCAGCAATTATCATGAATTTGTTTGAACTGATTAAATTGCGGGGTGTATGGTTTGTGTTGGACTATTTAAAACCGTCGCAATGACAATATCCAAACCAATTCATGTGCATAGCTGAATAGGCATCTCAGATGGACCAGCTAGTCAAGAAACTATGGATAGGTAGGAAAAACAGTAGACAGACAGACATGTCTGAAATTCATACACTACACAGAGCAAACACACGAAAACACAGAGCTCATAGAAAGAACAGATGCAGATTAATTCCAACGAATTCACAAACAGAAAATCCACCTACCCTAGCTAGCCCTGGCTAAGAGCCTGTTCGGAACCTCTCCATTCTCAAAGCTGCACTCTGTGATGTAGAGGAAACAAGGAGCTCAGTTTGAGCCACTCCCTGAAATTGTGCTGCCGCTCTCTCCGCTCCGGGAGTCGCAGTTATGGAGTGAAGAGAATCCAAACATGTCCTAAATACCAGAATAACAAGGAGTGTAAATCATAAACTGAATGACGGCAATAAGAAAATAAATTGTGAACCTTGCCTGATCTTGTTTCCTTCCGCCTGTGTACATGCATGTATGTATAATTTTTCACCCCAAACAAGCCACAAACGTAAGGTAGATATTTATCCATCAGGAAAAACCTATCTTCTCTTTAGTCTATATGTAAAACCCTCCTCTACATCCACTTACCCGGCGATGAATAATGATGTAGGAACTTGCTAAGAGCTAATTGTGGAAATCATTTTGTATTCGTTCGATGGCTTCCTACTCTTGGAGCAGAGGAAGCAGGCGAGAGGGGTCATGTAACATCGCCATTGCGATGATTCACACCATGACCTCATTCACCTCAAGACAACCACCACCGAAGAAGGGAACAGTATGTTTGTTTGTATGCTTGAAAAGAGCCTCAAAGTTGAGCACGAGAGGGGTCATGTAATCCAGAACGAGCACGACAAGCATAGTGATTGACATAGCAGGGAGCGCTTGAGGGACCTTCTTGACATGGAACAACTGCACACCAATGAAGGCACACGACAGAGTCATTGAGATGAGGGCCATGGTGCTTTCCAAGTCCATTCTCCACATTGATTCTTCCACTTGGCCTATGTACATCCCGTACAAAGCAATGTCCAACATTTTAAAGAAAATAGGGCCAGTCTTATGCTTCAGATTTTCCACTAGACATGCTATGTTGCTTTCGCATCCAAACTAGCAAAGTGAGCAGTTATCAGAATCTTGCAATCTTAGGAGGAGACATTGGACTCTCGGCACGTGAAGAAAAAACACATGGAATCATAGTGCCACGTCCTTTTCAAGCATACATAACTGGAGAACTATATGAATTTGTATTAAAGAGTGTTTGGCACAATAAAAAAACTACACTGAACGATAAAAGTGTGAAGACAAAACTCTTAGGACTTCTATATCTTCTAAGTTTCTTATAAAACTCCTATAAACCAAAAGAAGCCCTTCGAATGGTCCTTCCTGAAAACGACGTCCATGATTTTACACTTCAAGCCTTCAACTTTGCATGCATTTTTTCTTGACACCCCATAGCACGCGCCCAACTTATTTCGTACTTGGGAAAACATGATTTTACACACAACATTTTTTTATGAATACATTACCACACAACTCGTGATGATAGCAAATCCAGCTTTCAACCTCATCAATCGTGTTTTTGGATTGCTGAATAGTGGATACGATCCATCAGAGCTGCAGCAGTGGAAACGATGCTTGTCCAAAGGAGTGTATCTTTATCATATCGTGCTCTCTAGTTCCTGATATCTGTATATATGTATACCAATATAAAATGACGCACATACCTCGCGAACATTCGCCAGGGCCTGGATGGAAAGCAAACA